CAATAAGGAACCGACTCTGTTATTCCATGGTGCTGATGGCGAAGTACGACCTGATTGCCCGATAAGAACTAAAAAACACGTGCGGTGTCCGGGTGTACGCAAACTGATGCAGGCATATAAGAAGCGACCCTACATTGTTGTCGTGCCGGTGGACGAATGGGGAACATCTCAAACAGACGCAAGATGTATGTGCCGATTCCAAAACCAACCCAAATCGGCCAAATTCAAGATGTGTCGGTGCATACCCAACGCCATAACACTGCTGCCAACCAGAATTGTGTCTAAGTTTGGCAAGACAGATACATCTACATATCGACAGTTACAACGCACATTGAACGGAGCATTTGAAATAGAAGAGGAGCTAATGTCAAGAGTAAAACCTTACTACAAAAAATGGCAATTAGACCTCGAATGCACCGTGACTTGGCATCGTGACGTCGTGGCTGCTAAGAACATTCTACTGAAAGGTAAGGATATTGATACACAATGTGATTGAATGATCGCAAAAAAAGATTCATTTTTTCGATTAATCAGGACTATGGACATTGCTTTGGACTTCCAATACCTGCTGCAATCAACCGATATTGGAATCAAATCAACGCCGATGCCGCCGTCTTCGACGACGATAACGACGTGGACATATCCGAGCCCGAGTTCGAATAGCAGCCAACTAATCATCACAATACCATACCATAGATGGGGAGACTTTTTTTGCAGGGGGGGGGGGGTGGAAATGGTAATTGGCCGGGGGGGGGGTTAACCAAAAAAAAACAGCTCAAATTTTTTTTCGTGTATTCTTCAAAACCAGTAATACACACTACACTGGAATATTATATGAATTATTAGTAACTGTTCAAGTAGCTAAAAGTTGAACGAATTCACTCAATTCCGTTTGCTGGTAGCAAGAATAATGAATAATAAAAATGAATGTATTCTGCTCGACACTGAATGCAATGAATGAACATTGACTTATATAAATATCAGACAATATATTTAGCTACCGTCATCTGGATATTACAGCTCATCTGGATATCGTCAGCAGATGATACAAAGTGAAAACAATAGAAGTGATTGTTATAGGTATATAAGCTCGTTATATACTGGTATTACTATAACAATCACTTCTATTGTTTTCACTTCGCATCATCTGTTGACGGCATCCAGATGAGCTGAAATATCCAGATGACGGCAGCTAAATATATTGTCTGATAAATATAGATTAAATTGTTTGGTCTATACAAATCGATTTTATGTAATCAAGAATTGTTAATTATGATTATTCGGCAAATCGCAGTTTGCAGCGGGGGGCAAATCGTATTTTTTTGTTTTGCAGGGGGGGAGCAAATGGGGGGGGCAAACCCCAATTGTCAATTTCTGCAGACCGGGGCAAATACCGGCCGTTTGTGTGCCAGAGGGGGGCAAAACACGGAAACCCCCCCCCCTCTCAGCACCTATGATACCATACAATAAAATAAAATAAATCATAAGTAACATTTGTTACGTAACTGCTATCCCGAATATGTGGGTTAGTTATGCACAAAAAAAGTCATTTCCCATTTGGTTGAGATGGCTGTGCGGGAGTACAAACAGAGCGTTTTTCCATTGTAAGTATCATTAGATTTTGAAAACAGTTTTTTGCTTCGGGAAGTGCTAACATCAATCGCTTCGTTGTATAAATGCCATTAACTAACATAGAAATTTGCCTACTTTAAATTAATAAATACCATTTTTCTATTTACAGATATGGGAAACATCCTAAATGTACAAAATAATAATAATGAATGAGAAAATGAAATGGTATATATACAAAATCGCCCATTACGGGCGAACGATATCGACTACAACTGATACGTTTGAGCGAAGCATTGCGAGAAAAACGGCCTGAATACGAGCAAAAGCACGATAAAGTGATTTTGCTGCATGACAATGCTCGGCCACATGTTGCACAGCGTGTCAAAAACTATTTGGAAGCAAATCGATAGGATGTCTTACCCCACCCGCCGTATAGCCCAGACATTGCTCCTTCCGATTACCACCTATTTCGATCGATGACGCATGGCTTGGCTGAGCAGCATTTTCGTTCTTCCGAAGAAGTCAAAAATTGGGTCGATGAATGGATAGCCTCAAAAGATGAGACGTTATTTCGACGCGGAATCCGTATACTACCAGAAAGATGGGAAAAGGTAGTGGCTAGCGATGGACAGTACTTTGAATGATGTTTTATTTTAAACATTTATTTAGATAAAGCATTCATTTTCATTAGAAAATTCCCGTTTTTAAGTTGCTACTCCAATAGTATGTGGAAAAATTACCGAATCTGGCGGCCATTTGACGTGAAGTTTCATTTCTTTTATTTCTAGTGAAAATATTCGCACCCTTTTAACAATTCAACCGCTTCATTTCGGCCTAAAAAGACATTCCGATAAATCGCATTTTAGCATGTGCAGAAAGAAAATGTTTTCTCGATTTCAAACTGAGTGCATCTTCTCTGAAAATATTACATTTTCTACTAGTTGAAAGTGAAATTGTGACAATTGAAAAAGAATCACCAATAAATTGATAAGCTAACAAATATTTTTATAACATTTTATTGCCTTGTCATTTTACTGTTTCCTTTTATCAATTACGCATATTTATGAAAATAAATTTTTCGGACGCCATTCAACAACGCAAAACCCTATCAATAATCTGATTATTACACCTTATCTTCGCTGATTACTAATTGATTTTTGAAGAGATTACTATATAAAACAAATACGTTGGTTGTTAATTTTATATAGCCATTTAAAGGTAAACAGTAAACCTGACTTTCCCCACGTAGATGTTTTTTATAAACGTATTCATTGAAGAATCCGCTGCTATTCACAGTTTTGCGTTGCAAGAAAAAAGCGGTAACTATTGAATTCGATTTTTATCATGTGTGAAAATGTTCAAATAACTTTCAAGTCGTATTATGTTTATGCATTTAACATTTTTCACTTTTTCTATCTCAATTTATTCCGGTAAGTATCAATTTCATAAGTTAATCAAAACCGTAAAGTAATTGTGTCTATTCCATTTCCACAATTTGCGAGATTGATATGACTCGAAAACATTGTGTCATTTTTCATTTATACATTTTTATCACACATATTTTTTTATTTTTATTTATTTTTCTTATATACAAATAAAATGGGTTCATCATGAATGAGTCCATGACATTTTTTTCTTCTGATTTTTTTTGTTTGTGATTTGTGAATGTTTTTCAACATAGTTTGATCGAGGTTTATGCAAATACAGTTTGATTCTTTCAGATTGTTTGATTATCATCTAATTTAAATCGAACAGCCACCAACTGTCACCATTACGCTTTTCCCCGAATATTCCAATCATGTAAATGTTTTTAGATGGAATCACTATCCGAGGATGTACACGATCAAAGGGAAAGATCTCTTTGAACACCGATTCTTTTGCCATTTGTAAGTCAGATAATTGCAATGCACAGATTTTCCCCGCCGATCGTTTAAGTTGTTTACATTGCAAAGGAGGTGGTTGTGCGAATCAATCAAATTCGATTGAAATGAGATATACGTGTGTTAACTATCATCCAAATGATCGATGCTATAGCATAATCTCCCACGGTATATGGAAACAGAGAATTGTTTTTTAAATCGAATTCTCAAACATCAAATCTATTTCCAACATTTAGATGGCAGTATGGCATATCGTGGTTGTATGTCAGATGAAGACAAAGTTGGCAAAGATATTTGTTCAATGAATTTCGCGCAGTGTCATACATGTTCAGAGCGAGCATGCAATTCAAATCCTTTGAAATTCGAGACAGCAATATCGTGCGTCAAATGTAATACAGATGCAAATTCTGACTGTAATTTGATTGACGAAAATATTGAAGCTGCTGAATGTGCTGCAACGACTTTTGGTTATAAAAATGCTTGTTATATTTATAAAAGCGATGGAATTGTCCAACGGGGTTATTTGTATGAAGTACCGGATGATATTTTCAATAAATGCAACAATGAATTTGATAACAAGTGTCTGCTATGCAAGCACAATAATTGCAATCGAATGCCAATAATAAATAGCAATACAATTGCCACCAAAAATGAAAGAAACTACACATCGGAAAGTGAATCAAATATCCAACACGAAACATGTATTGAATGCAATTCAAACGATGATGACCGCTGTCGAACGAAACCTGAAGCACTCCAAGGGAATGTTTGCAAACAGGGCCGTTCAACAGAAAGTGAAGGATGCTATTTAAACATTGTATGTATAATTTTCGCTCCTTTTGATCGCAGATTATTTTTATTCTAATACACACTTTGTCATCAAACATGAAAACAATATGCGTTGGAAATTCAAATAACTGTAAAAGTTGCGTTGGTAATAACTGTAATTTCAAAGTCAAATTCCATGAGTGTTACAATTGCAATAGTAAGATAGATCCACAATTGATAGAAATGGCTACATCCATCGACGATGTACCAATCAACAAAAAAGCTTCAAACGAGAATTTTCCGATAATTTAATTCTGTGCGACGATGACAAATGTAATGTCAAAATATATCCAAAAGGCATTTTGAAGTGTTATCAATGCAATGGCGAAAAAGAATGTGATTTAACCGAAGGAAGTAAATTGAAACCACAACGATGCACAATGCTATCGGAATATGATCAATGTTTTACGTATGTTAATCAAGGTACATAAAAAAATTGAAATTTCATTTTTTGAAATACTAGAAATTATCCATTTCAGAGAAGAAAATATTCCGAGGGTGTTTGAGTGATCAATCAGAGCCGCGGTTGCTTTGCGATCGTGCTGAAAAACACGAAAATGGGACGTGCGTAGTAGTGTAGAAAAGCCGATTTCATCCCGCAATATTTACTTCTAAAACACGAAGTAGGTGTAAAGCAAGAAAAACACACATGCGCATGAATGAAACAGCTAAACACACACTCTCTCCTCTCTCCTCACACACTCACACACACACTCTCTCTCTCTCTCTCTCTCTATCTCGCTCTTTTTTTCTCTCTCTCTCTCTCTCTCTCTCTCTCTCTCTCATCAAGCAATACAAGTATGGCAACGGGCCTGCTCACCATTGTATATTCATATGTTCATATCTTTACATTCAAAGTAAAAAAAACACTGAGCTTTTAAAATGTAAACAAAAAATCTTAAAGCGAACTCAAGTATTTTTCATCGTTCATTAATCGCAGTGTGTATTTTATTTTTAATCAGGAGAATAAATAGCTTTAGTATGAATAGTTGTCATTTCAAATCGAGATATGGAAACATATAAATCGAAATTCAATATTAACATACTTTTAAAATTAAATTCACAAGCAAAACAAATATTTGAGAGCATCACAATGAAACTAAGAAGCGGACGTATTATCACATATAAAGAAGGAGAAAAAACAAGTAATTTTGTATTTAATCAAGAAAACTCAAACATTTCTAGTTAACAATAAGCTATTCAAGCAACATCTGGAACGACATCTATAACAATGATGAGAAAGTTTGTTTCACTTTGTTTCGAGAAAATACGTAAAATCGTAAGATTTGCTTGGATTTTCATCATGTATTCGCGTATGAAATAGCAAATCACCAGATTTTTCGAATCATTCATTGCATTGTCGACATTTATATGCTGTACTTGAAGTGGTTTTTCAGGTAAATGATCATACTGCAGACGAAATTTGTATATAATTTGTGTAATGGTGAACAATTTGTTTGCTCACGTTTCAAAATTAGTTGCTGTAGCCCGGGATGGAATGGTTTTCTCTTCGATCATTTCGACTGTAAACCATTTCAGAATGAGAGAAACCAAAACACGCTAACTAACCTCATCTTGCAAGAGATGAGAGAGCATTCCCATTAAATATCATTTTCGAACCCGTTGAATAATGTGTGGAATTGAGATTGTGACCAAAAAGTTGACTGAAAGATATACATAGGAATTTTTTTTTGTTTTGATTTGTGTTCGGATGCTGGAAAGATAAATGAAAGACGTAATGGTATTTTTATACATTAAAAAACATTCGTTTTTACATTCATTTTAATACTAAATCGTTTGTTCATAAGTTTTAAAATTTAATTATAAGATTATTATGAATCAATGTAAAAAAAA